CCGGGGGGGGGAGGAGGGATTGCATGCGATGCCACGGGAAGCATAATAAAATATTTAATCATTTCTCCAGGTAACCTCGCCTCTGAAAGTAACAAGACCAGAGCGGAGATCAATTGGAATTAAACTTTCGGTTAACTTTCGGCGCCGTTGTTTCCCTCGGACTCTTGGTCTTCTCGATATCTCTTTATACCTTGCTCAGCTTTTATTGCGCGAAGCCTCGGGATCGGCGGAAGCGCATATTTTCGGGCGCATAAAAGTACGTTATTATTCCGAGCAACTTCGGATATAGTTCACGACGAACCTGATCTTGAATTGTATTATCTCGAGTGTACACACGAATGCACAGTTAGCAATGCACTTGATCTTGAATTGTAATATTTCCAGCGTCTTCGAACGAAGTTCGCGATGATACGGATGACACGGATCGAATTAATCCTCGTTTTGAACAAATACAATAGATTTCGAGTCTCGATTAATTTTATTTAAGTCGCGATTAATTGTTAAAAGTGTCTGCTGCACAGAGATTTAGTCCTTCGTGTATCAATGTAAACGAGTCAGAAAAGAAATTTCATTACAGTAATGTCTCCCTAATTGACGTCCCTCTAAACTCCCTTACTGACGCTCAGATTGTGCACAAAAATGGACAATTTGGGAAGGGGAGATACGATTGTTTGAGCCTTGCTGCTCGTTTTTATAGTTATAATTATAGTTAGTGACATTACTGTACAGTAATGTCTCTCTAATTGACGTCTCTCTAAACTCCCTTACTGACGCTCAGATTGTGCACAAAAATGGACAATTTGGGAAGAGACGATACGATCTGTCTCTTATACACATCTAGATGTGTATAAGAGACAGGTACAGTAATGTCTCTCTAATTGACGTCTCTCTAAACTCCCTTACTGACGCTCAGATTGTGCACAAAAATGGACAATTTGGGAAGAGACGATACGATCTGTCTCTTATACACATCTAGATGTGTATAAGAGACAGGTACAGTAATGTCTCTCTAATTGACGTCTCTCTAAACTCCCTTACTGACGCTCAGATTGTGCACAAAAATGGACAATTTGGGAAGAGACGATACGATCTGTCTCTTATACACATCTAGATGTGTATAAGAGACAGGTACAGTAATGTCTCTCTAATTGACGTCTCTCTAAACTCCCTTACTGACGCTCAGATTCCTGTGCCCAAAAATGAACAATCTGGGAAGAGACGATACGATTGTTCGAGCCTTGCAACTCGTTTTCATAGTTGTTGACAATCGATAGCCATAAAAAACGAGCCACAAGGCTCGAGCAATCGTGTCTCCTTTTCCAAAATTGTCCATTTTCGTGGACAATCTGAGCGTCAATTAGGGAGACATTACTGTATGTCCAGGAATTCTTCTAGCGCGTTGACCGTTCTGTTCTATTTAACGTTCTACATTTAACGTAACCGTTTTTATTACAAACGTATAAAAATCCGCAGTCTGGTGATAATAAGAGACCCTCCTGGATAACGTTGCAGGGTCGAGCTCTCTCTCTCTTGGTATTCTTCGGTGAAAAGAGTTACAGTCCGCGGAGAATTTATAAAATAAAGAAGACTTTTCTTGAATTTATGGTCAAGAGACCGTTTCTTGAGAATTTAGGTTACGGCCTCCTTTAGGGGAAACGCGTAGATCGTCCCGAATCTTACAGTCGTATTTTGCACGCTCGACGCTGGCCGCCCTAGAGTCGGCGGCACTTGGTCAACGATGGTGCTGTGTGTCCCATTAGGACTTAAACAATGGCGCAATTGTGACACAGAATGAAAAAGTACGAGCGTTACGACGAGTTCACGGCAGATTTTAGCAGCTATGAAATAATCGCGTGTGTCCGTCGCCGAGCGTGTGTACATTCTAAATAGCTTTACGAGAAATTCTGGAACAACTGGAAAAATTGTGAGGCGACGCTATTTAAGAGGATTTGGAAGATTGCGAATCTGTTTCTATCATTTTTATAGAATATGTAAGAAAAGCTAGCGTAAGGGAGCAATTTATTTTTACAAGTTATAAGGTAATTTTTGTGATCAAAGAATACGTTGACTTTTAAACTTTTATTCAGTCCAAACATGTTCGTGTATGTGTATTATTTTTTATGTGATGCATATGTGGCAGTTGATGAGTTTAAATAATTGTAATATTGTATTAATATAATATTGTATTTATATAATATTGATATATTTATACATTTCTATACATATAAATCTGTTTATATAATACATATAAATGTAATAGTGTCTGCTAATTGCATGGAATTGCTCGATTCTTATTAATTAAAAATTGTAATTCATCTATATGTATAACTAACTTCTTGCAAAATTATTTACTCAACAGCATTAACTGTTAATTCTTAACAGTATTAGCAATAAATAAAGCTCGATTATTATTTCCTCTCTCATGCAATTCAAAATAGAAATCGAATTTATTTGATAATTCTCATTTTTATGCTCATCATTAATATCACAGAACTTTTACAATTTCTCCCACAGAAATATTTAGTAAATCGAAACAGTTTTCATTATCACAGACAGTGCTACAAAGTAGCATCAAATTTTGTTTCTATTTAGTAAAAAAAAAAGCGAACAGCATTCGTACTCGGGAAATAACGCATGGAGTCTTTATCGCCGTCCCGAGACTGTTTGTTATAACGCAAGGGAGAGATATCGGGTTTACGAAACGCGGCGTGCCCGCGCCAAAACTCAATTTCGTTTCCAACTGATTACCGAGGGAACCTCGTCACCGTTTGTTTTCCACGCCGTAGAAACTTTCTCCCGCGTGTGCGGAAAACAAAGCAGACGCTGCAATTTAAAAAAGTTTATGAGGCTCGATGCGGTTCTTTGTGAATTTAGCGTGACCCTGTGTGTGTGCGCGCGCGCGTGTGTGCCGGGGACGCGGGCGACGTTAAAAGGTTAATTAAGTTTCCCTCGAACATTTCGCTCTTGGAACAATATCCCGGGTTTTCCGAAGCGTGGGCAAACCCGCGCGAAATATTGCGTTTGTCCCTTCGAACTGAATAAAACACTTGCGGAAAAACAACGGCTCCGTCGAATGTTTTAGAGAAACGGAAAGGCGGCGGCGGGGGGGGGGGGCGGTGAAATTGACGCGCGTAGAGCAAGTGCTGGTATTACTGCGGACGCCCGAAAACAACGGGGTACAGTAATGTCTCCCTAATTGACGCTCAGATTGTCCACGAAAATGGACAATTCGGGAAGAGGAGGTACGATTATTCGAGCCTCGCGGCTCGCTTTTATGGTTGCTGAGAATCGGTAATTATAAAAACGAGGCGCAAGACTCAAATTAATCGTCTCTCTTCTCCCTAAATTGTCTATTTTGGGGGCACAATTTGGGCGACAATTAGAGAGACATTGCTGTATATCTTGTATAAAAGTATAATAAAATCTAACGTTTTACGGTGTTTAATCTTCTGAAAATTAATCTCATAATTTTTTACACTGGGAATTAGTATGACACGTCGTGAAAATTTCTAGTAATAATTTATTCTGTATAAATGTGTGTGTGTTATTCTGTCCTTTAAAATTAGAATAAAATTCTAATCTCTTGCCAGCAATATTTTGAGCATTCAAGTATATTTAGACGCACAATAAGCATCAACTTTCTTTCCCTTATTATTGCAATTATTGCAATCGAAGAATTTCTAATCGCGATAACTGCAAAGAAAATAACGTGTCAAGGGGTTAACGAAATTCGTGCTTCCAGATCGAATTTCAGATCCAATATATTTTGAGGAAAGTCAATGCTCCGGTTAAAGAATAATAGGTGTAGCTCGAGTCGCCGATTTATTGGCGCGAAATATCTCATTTTCTCTGTCAAGGTTCGCCTCCGTCGAGAAACCGCGGTAATGCCTGCATTTACCCTATCGAACCAGCGAAATGAAAAAGGGCATATCTTCGGGATCTAGACATTGTTCGGAGGCTTGGCCCGGCTAAATGTAACAATGCCCTCCCCCAAACATTCCAACGACGCGAAAAAGATTCGCCAGCAGAATCCGACGATCAATTCTCCCTGGTCGCGGCTCCGCGAGACGACGTTGCTCGGCAAAGCCCGCTCGTTTGCGCTTCTTTATATAATTTAATGCACTCGGAAAAAGGCGGAGAATAGAGGAAACTCGACGACGGCACCCGCCGGACCCCGGGCCACCCAAATCGCATTAGTCACGATTCGGATACTTAAAGCGTTCCCATCCCTCTGTCCTGAAAAAATGAAATTTCTTTTCAGATATTATTTGCAATCGACAAATTTCTGATCGCAGTCACTTTCGCTGGCTCGAACGTGGACGAACAACGAAATCGCTTCGAGCCAATCACCGGTGCCAAGCACTCGACAACTTTAGACCTTAATCAACTAAATTGAATAATTGCTATAATGAACACGCGTTACTCTATACGGGTGTAAGCTTACTTTATGCGACACTCGTCGACCAAATTATAAGACTTCGGACTGCGTTTACGTCGCAACAGCGTTGCGGGGAGACAAAGCCGTTCATTCATGACCTTCGTCTTTTTTAATTAGGTGTAAATTGGGTATTGTAAAGAATTTTCGAGTTGCGTCAAAACGACAGCGCTTGGACGAAATTATAAGACGCTGTCTTCAAATAGTAAAAATGAAATAAACGACAGTAAAAATAAAATAGTAGAAATAAAATAATAGAAATAAAATAGTAGAAATAAAATAGCTAAAATAAAATTGCTAAAATAAAGCAGTAAAACTAAAATACTAAAACTAAAATACTGAAACTAAAATACTGAAACTAAAATACTGAAACTAAACTACTGAAACTAAAATAAAATAAAATAGTAAAACTAAAACATTAAAACTAAAATAAAATAAAATAGTAAAACTGAAATAGTAAAACTAAAATACTAAAACTAAAATACTAAAACTAAAATACTAAAAATAAAATAATAAAAATAGGGGCTGAAAAATGGCGAGAAGTGACCGATTCGCATCTCACCCTGTCCACTTCCCGCCAATTCCCGCATAACCGAGTACATATACATACGCACGAAACTCTCGGCTACGCCAATGGTCGTTACCCCGATAATTCCGAAAGTGCATCGTAGTTTGGTCCAGGAAGATACGTACGTTGTTCCGTTCGGATACAAGCGATGCAGGCGACATCTTTTAAATCTGTAGAGCCCGCCTCGGTGTACCTGTAATTCAGCAGGATTTTCGCGAGACGTGGCGGAACGCGCTCACACACACACACACACAGACAATCAAAGGCGGGCATGCACATCGAAGAAGACAGCGCGGTATTGGCCGCGGCACAGTACATAAAGTTTCTTTGTCCGGGGGAAGTTCCCTTTTCCCCGGCTATCCCTCTTATTTCCCAGTAATTCGATACGCCGGGGAAAATTGCTGGCGTAGTTGCGGCAACGCTTTCGCGGCCGCCCTCCGCCGCGGCGCGCCGCAGCGGCAACACATAAATATTTCTATTGTGCGGCGTCGATTTCTTGCTCGATTATTCGAGCAGATCAACACGCCTGCTGGTATAATCGATTTTTATGCGGCGTGTGGGCGGCGCCGCGGCGCGGCTCGCTAGCCCTGAAAGGAAGGGATTATACCGGATCGAGCGTAAATAACGATGCACATTTACTGGAAGAAGGAATACACCCCCGCGGCAGCGGCATCGACGGCATCGGCGGCGGCCACGTTCCGCGAGCTGTTCGCAAACGGAAGCACACTTGAAATCCGATTCGAAGCACGCTTAATACGGATATTAGAAATCGATGTCGAAATAAAAACAATGGGACACCGTCGTCCGCCGGAGAAATACGAGCGGATAACACGGGAACCGGAGGGAAAACCCGGCCGATAACACGTGCACCGCGCGCGAAACGCGCGCGACATGCAGAAAAAGATTTATCTGAGCATATTCATCGTTTCGAGGGAAGATGCTAATGTGCAGATAAATGAGCGCTCGGTATAAATAAAGATTCTATCGTCTCTTGTAAAGAAAAAAGGAGAATTTCACCGGCGGAAACGCTTCGATAGGTACACTCCTGTTCGAAAGTACGACGACACGTTTTCTCGAACGGAATTATATATTTTTTTTCAGATTGGTCCGAATCTTTTCGATAGGTTAGAGCTTTTTCTTTTAGACGGGTGTATTTTGTTTTTAGGTTGCGATTGATTGGGACGATGAAAGCAATTAACGAAAAGCTTGCTGTTTCAATGGCAATTTTAGCGAAAATTCGAGTTTAGTTGTCGATGTTGAAATGTTTGCGGGCTAAGGCGATATAAACTAACAAATATGTAATATTAAAATTTTAATATACATTATATTATATACCTAATATATATTATATATAATATTATATTATTATATTATATTATATTGTATTATATATATTATAATATTATAACATATATTAAGATTTTAATATTATATATATATCTTAATATATATTATAACATTAAATAAAAAGATATAATATACATTATAATATTAACTAAAGTCATAATTTATATAATAATATTATATAAAGAATACTGAAACATATAACGTATAAAATAACGTATATATAAATGCATAAATAATTATTTCGAGAGAAGTGTGTACCCATAGTGTCCTGGTTAGACATTTCTGTGTTCGCAGCCCCCCTCCCACTAGCTTTGGCAGCGATGCAGCCAGAAGGAGGAGAGGGGGGAAGAATGTAAACGCAAAGAAGCCATCTTCCCGCACGAAAACAACAGACGTTCGTCATCGTTTAGCATTCGTGACACATTTTCCATAGTCGCATTTCAAAGAAGTCGCAACAGCTGACTTATTAAACGCACCGGGGTCAAGACGACCCAGTGACCGTCGTTCGTCGTCGTCGTCGGCGACCGCACGCCGCGACAAAGTCATCGGTTCCGGGCGGCGGCCGAACTTTGTCATATCTTTGGAAACTGTTCGCGGAAGTAATTCGGGAGGAACACAAATAAGTTCGGGAAGGGACGACGCCTCCGAGTCGAGTTTATGCCGCGACAGCCGCGAAGTTGTCGCGCGCCGCGACAGCCGAATCCGTCTCCGGCGAATCAGCCGCGGTCGCATTTTTCAAATAACTTGTTGACACTCGCGCGACGCGACGGCACAATACGCCGCGGAACGCGTGTGCAACTTTTACACTTTATCGTCCCGGCCGCGAAACTTGCTGGAAAACCGCGCGCCGCGACGCGACGAGACGCGACGCGTCGCTCGGCCGAAATGCATGCAGACAATGCAGTTTGAGTCGCATGCAACGCGGCCGGCCCCGGGATTTCATTCGATCGCGCGCACCGACCGAAATAAGTTTTCATATTATTTCGAAGTTCACGGGGCTGAATCCGCTCTGTTCGACTTTCGCCGTGTCCTCTCGGATGATATATTTATGGAAACTGTTCGGCCGAGCGACGACGAAATTGTCGAATTTTACGCGCGTTTTACCTGCGACAATCGGCTACGCGTTTGCTATATTTAGCTGCTCTTGCGCTGGGAATAAAGTAATTTCTCCCGGAAATGCCAAATTTCGGGATGCTCTGAATTTACCTGTGCCGGTCCTACGCCTCTGTTATTTATTGCTACGCCGTTGATGTGCGATAAATATGCGTTTCGTGCGCAATCTGAGCGCGAGTTAGGGAGAAATTAGTGGCAACTTTGAGTTGGACGTATATTCAATAAATAAAAGAGACATAATTAATATTATATTATTAATATTACACAATTGACACATAATTTTCGATTTTATCGTGGATTATATTAATATTTGAATCATTGTTTTGTTATTTAATATCTATTATTTCATACTTAAATTATTTCATAATTTAATATTTGCTTTAATTATTATATATTCAATTATTTTAATGGTTTATTTTAATTATTGCTTCTAGTTAAATACAACTTATTGCCGGGGGTTATACTACATTAACAAAAACAACCCTACACTTATCTAAAACATTCTTATTTATCTATTTATTAATTAATGGTTCATTTAACAAATACAAACTTGTTTATTGTACGTATACGTTCCATATTATTTATTATTACTTTCTGAATTCTTACAGAACGTTCTTCGAGCAAAAATGATAAATCACTGAACTATCTCCAAGAGCAATCTCATACACAGAAATTGATCTGACAAAAATAATTCGTACCAGCGGATATTAATAACTAATGAAAATAATCCCAGGTTCGCGCAAATGTTTACCGGGTTCCGTTCTCTCTGTCGGGGCAACCCGCCGGGATAGGTTGTACGGTTGATAAATCAGAAGATGATTTACAAGTTGTGGGCAATTACTTGTCAAACTGATAGCTATCTGCTGTCACATCGCATGCGAGGGTGAAATCCTCTAGAAGGATTAGCCCGCAAGGGACCGTGCTCAAGGGTTCGGTGGGCGGTAGGGGGGCGAGGGGGCGTGTACTTAGCGGATCAGCTAACTGCCGCCTTGCGTCTCGAGATTCATGATACGTCACTGACTATTTGGATTGAGACCCAAGACGTCAAGAAAATGCGTTTGCCAAACCGTCTGTTAATAACGCGTCTACCACGAATCCGATTCGATATTAATCTTCTACGTAGTCGAAAGGACCATGCGACGACAGTCTATCGAACAGAATATTAGGTTATTCGGTGAGAAATTTCGTTTCCCGAGGGTGAACGATGCCAGGAGTTTTTTTTTTAGTGTTCCAAGTAAATTATCGTCGATAATTGAGATAATTTTGTTCGAGGAATTTCTGTCTTATTTTTGGTAGCTTCGAAATGCCATAACATCGTAGAAATCCTGCTTTCTATCGGGGAAAAAGATTTGATAGGTTTTACGGGTTTATTATGTACGCGGTATGTATTAACGTTAAATTAACGAGTCAATATTAGCGGTAAAATTGTTAATTTTATCAAATAAATCCGTCTTTTCGATTCAATATTTTGTTAACGAAGCATCTTAACAAACGTCTCTAGAATTGGTAAAACGAATTCTCTTCAATTGTCCCTCAGCTTGCAAAGCAAAAATGGACACTTTGGGAAGAGAAGATTCGATTACTCGAGCCTGCTATTCCCAAACTGGCCATTTTTGTGCGGTGGGACAATTTTTGTAAAATTCGCTGTACAGTAATGTCTCTCTAATTGACGCTCAGATTGTCTACAAAAATGGACAATTTAGGGAGAACAGAGACGATTATTCGAGCCTTGCAGTTTCTTTTTATAGTTATAAATTGTCCACAATTATAAAAACGAGGCTAGAATAATCGTATCTCCTCTTCCCAAATTATCCACTATTAGTGGACGATCTAAGCGTCAGTAAGGGAGACATTACTGTACAGTAATGCTTCTCTAATCGACGCGCAGATTGTCCACAAAAATGGACAATTTAGGACAATTTAGGGAGAAGAGAGACGATTATTCGATCCTTGCGGTTTATTTTTATAGTTATAAATCGTCAAGAACTATAAAAATGAGCTATAAGGCTCGAACAATCGTATCTCCTCTTCCCAGATTATCCACTATTAGTGGACAACCTCAGCGTCAGTAAGGGAGACATTACTGTACAGTAATGCTTCTCTAATCGACGCGCAGATTGTCCACAAAAATGGACAATTTAGGACAATTTAGGGAGAAGAGAGACGATTATTCGAGCCTTGCGGTTTATTTTTATAGTCATAAATTGTCAAGAACTATAAAAATGAGCTATAAGGCTCGAACAATCGTATCTCCTCTTCCCAGATTATCCACTATTAGTGAACAATCTGAGCGTCAGTAAGGGAGACATTGCTGTACTTGCGATCGCTGGTCACGAACGTGAAAGGAATACGTATGTGGCCTCTTCCTCGTGAAATCTGCAATTACTTTCTCACGGTCGAGCGTGCAGTAGAAATGACGAGACGCAGACGAAAAGCGTTTTGTTCTGGGCAGCCGCCGCGCCGCCGGCACAAAAACCTAGCACTGCTTGTGTTTTATCATGTGTTGTTGGCAGTGGGCCACCTGCACGCACGACCTCACATCGCTATTTGTTGGTTTCCGTCTCGTTAGGTGGAAAATCTATTTCTTCTCGTCGGCATTGTGCGAATCGGTTTGTACGGGGTTTCAAACGCTCGCCGCATCCATATCCCCGAGATTTCACGGGAACGGGATGAGAGAGAGAGAGAGAGGGGGAGAGAGAGAGAGAGAGAGAGAGAGATGTAGAGACGGAGAGGGAGAGGAAAAAGCAAGATATGGGGATGGGAGAAAAGGGGCGGAGAAGAAATTGACCGAGAGAGAATTGTGTTTCGCGCGATTATTGTTCGCTATCCATCGCCTTCCGGAAATGCAGCGCCAGCAATATCGGTCTAGCTGTGTTCGGTCTTCGCTGTGCTCTTGCCGCTGTTTTCACTTAATTACCGAAGATCGCAGATTCGAGCAGTGAACTGTTCGGGGTTAAAGTCCACAGCGTGGATTTCACGCATTCGATGCAAGAATTTCTGCATCGAATGTGAATCGGTGACATTATTGTTACTTTAATTATTTAAAGCATTGAAAAATATTTGCTGCATTACTTTTAGCTCTTATATACATCGTGATCGATACATCTAATTTTTATTCCGCTTAAAAATTCGCATTCTTGTCAGATTAGAGTACAGTAGGAATAATTGTTATATGTTATTGTCACTTTAATTATTTAAAGCATTGAAAAACATTTGCTGCATTACTTTCAACTCTTATATACATAGTGATCGATACATCCAATTTTTATTCCGCTTAAAAATTCGCATTCTTGTCGGATCAGAGTACAGTAACAAAATAATTGTTATACTTCGACTGTGAATTTCACGTATTTATAATAATAATAATAATAATCTGTACGTCGATTGTAAAATACCAACATCGATTACTGTATTATGTGAATATTTTTGCAACGTATACTAATCATTTATACCATGGGAACAGAGGGGGAGATAGGGGGATAGGAGGAAGGAGGAGGGAGAAGAAATTGATCGAGAGAAAATTGGGCGTTGCGCGATCATTGTTCGCTATCCTTTGCTTCCCGGAAAATGCAACGCCAGCATTGTCGGTCTAGACTTTACTCTTCTCTTGTTGCAATCATTAAAATCGATTATTTGCTTTGGTCGATGCTGATTCGAGCTCATCCCGCTGTATATAATCGCCGCTGTCTGAAACGTTGCCGGATATGTGTTCGGTAAACATTGGCTTTTTATTTGCAATCAAGGTATGCGATTTTGGAAATATTGTCTTTCGGTTGCTGCGAAACGTTTTTACAACTTCGTAGGAAAAGGGAACGCTTTGAAATATGTTTGTCTATTTAATCATGTTATCACAATAAATTATATATTACTTATATAATTATATTATAAATCATATTATCATATTATTAAATTATTATTATCATACGTCTATCTTCGTTTGGTCATATTTAATCACATCATCATATTAATTATATATAAATTATATAATTAGATATAATATATGCTTATGTAATTATATTATAAAAATCGTATTATCATACGTCTATCTTCGTTTAATCGTATTTAATCATATTACCACTTTGCCAGGATCCAATTTACACTACGTTCGACAATAAATTTAGTAACAATTAATCCTAGAAAATTATTCGATCCACATTATTTCATATTCTCGACTTCTCATGCTTCCCGAGATATTCCGTTTACTTTACGAAGCGAATGGAAGCAAATCCTGTCGAAAATGGAGCAAATCCTGTCGAAATGATGATGATAATTTTCCTCGGATTCTGAAGTGACAGACGAAAAACATCGCTGGGACGTGGAGAGCCAATAGACTCTACAAGTCTATCGGTTATCGATACTTCCGTTTCCTGACACGGGCTGATACTTTCTATTGATATCGAACGAAAATAAACGGGAGAAATTCGTCGTTTCGATTCCCATTCTCGTAATTATCGCTCTATTGATAATCAGTACTAATAAAATAAGGCTGAAAGCGGCTGAATCAGCCACTTTCGTTCTAATCTTTTGAACAGGCTGCTCATATGAATTAATAAAAATGTTATATTCACATAGAAGTAG